ATTCCTCGGACTCCCCTAAATCAGACACTTCGAACTTTGAGAAGGATAAATAAAAGCAACCACACCGCGTGGTGTTCCCCAAGTCAAGGACAACTCAGAGCAAGACATCAGAATAACCCAAAGGTGGGAAAAGTCGGTTGAGTGGAAGTCCCCATCCCATCCGTCCCATCCGACATCATTCTGATACCAAGCAAACTGCTCCTCAGTTGGAAAATTAGCCGCATAGGCAGGTTCACGGATGTGTCCACCTAAGGGTCATGGACAGGAGAGAGCTCTTTACAACTCAGCTCCTGCTTTGTATAAATTATTAGAGAGACGAGGGAGAACGTTTGGGTAACGAAAAGAAAAATAGAATTTGAGAAAGCCAATCAGTTTTCGTGAGTACTTTTTTGCCAACTGCTAACGTGCTCATAGATTCTCCTTAAAACTTTCTTGTATTTTTCCAGGGGAGGGACAAGTTTTTTATTTGTGTTTCTCTTTCTGCAAAACACTGCCTGATAGTTGGGTGACTCAAAACGAAACCTCCCACCGTCACTCTCCACTTGGTCTGTGGTCACTGAGCTGGCCTCTCCCCAGGATGAGAGATCACAGTCCAACAAAATAAGAAATGGCAAAAAGCAAAAAACCACTTTCACTTAAAAAGATGCAGGCTCTTTCGGTTGATTCCAGCTCCGCCCTCCTGGAAACTTGGCTTGAAGGTGTCACTGTGAATGAATTGCTTGTAGCTTTTGTGTTGAATGGAAATGTTTCTGTTGAGGAGGCCCAACAGCTACAAGGAGCTGGTATGCACGTCCAGGGGACTTGCCACGAGAGCTTGGAGCTACAATACAGATGTATCAAGGCTGAGGAGTAAATGAAACTTGTCACTAGTGTTAGCAGCAAAACCCGGGGTCCATCCCTCACAAATTATGGACATCTGTATTCCTAATTGGCATTCTTTAGGGCTACGCCAGCAGAATGGCTGCACCAGGAGAGTGTGACAGGCTTAGAGGAGATGAGGTATCAGGGTGAGGTGACAGGAGGCATTGATGAGGCAGGAAAGTTCTTTGGGATGGAATACTCTCCATATGTTTGCTACGATGCTGGCGATTTTTAGCTTCAGGTACCTTCAGATGACACCTTTTGTCCCTACTAAATTTGCTACTTTTAAAACAGATCAGTTTTTGATCGTAGAAGAACAAGTGGCATTGATGGCTACATGATCCCAGGACCGTTGGTAAAGATGCATACAAATAGTTAACAAGGTAATGGTAAGAAATGTTGACCTTGATTTGTTTAGCTAAGATGTAAAGATTTTTGAAGGTCAAAGGTGTCCTTGTGTAGTGTTTTGGAGTCTAACTGTGCCTGACCCTCTAACATTAAGCTGCTGTGGCCTGCAGTTTTGAAGAGTGAAGCAAACCAGGGGGAAAGCGAGAAGGGGGAGAGAACAGGAAATGGAGTGAGGTGTTTCAGGAAGTTGTCAGGGGTTGACGGATTGATTCCAGATGGAAAGGGTCAGCCTTCGTGACCCAGGAAATACTCACTAGGGGAAAGAAGTTGGCTTGGGGAAGGGGAAGGCCTGGGAGTGAGATGATGTTGGAATGCACATTCCACTTCCTTTCGTCTTAAAACATCCAGAAATTTTAACTTCTCCGAATAGAATAATATCAGTGTTGTCATCGTTCATCAGAAAACGGTGAAGGAAGTTAAACTCGAAGCTTCGACTGAACCAAATGTATCTTCGCCTCCCTAATGTTATCCAGTCTTCCAGAAGTCGAGGGGATGTGTAAAATCAGTGTTTAAGTGGGCGTCCCCATGTAGGGAAGCAGCAGCGGCCCAGCAGGCCTGGTTTCGTGTGGTGGAGTTTGTGGATTAAGTCCATTACATTTTACAAATTCACTTTAATAGCAGGCTTTTCTAGGTACCTCTCAGCCTAAGATATTTAGAATATGAAAAACTGGAACTTGCCTCATATCTATACACACACACACACACACACACACACACACGCACGCACGCACATACATTTGGACGTAATTTAAAATCTTGTAATAAATTTTGCAGACACTGAAATAATTCAGGTTAATTCCCTTGCTGTCATGAGAGGCCGGCGCTAGCCAGCAAGAGATTAAAATTTATTTCCATTGTTAATAGAAAATAATGAAGTGCATCTGAACCACCAGGGTATGTCATTCGGGAAATGTTCACTTTGGAACTAGGTCTCACTCCACCCAAATGGACAATGATGGAATCTGCTGGCTCGGGAGAGCCCCATATTTCGTGGCAGGAGCATTAATGGACGGTATGACAAGGAGCTGGTGGAATGGATTAAAGTGGTCTCTGAAGGAGCGCTCCTTACATCCGCATCATCCTCGGGCAGAGCTGGGGTTTCCCTCAGCGTGTCCAGGACAGCTTCGTGGTGGTGAAGGCCGGGAGCACTCTCTCATCCTTGTTGGGGGATTTCTGAGTTGTTTTCCAGCACCGAGAGCTGTGCCTTTGAAGACCCACTTGCACACACGATTTGCAAGAGTGGTCCAATTCCTCTTTCCCCCCTCTTCATCCTGTTATTTCCAGAGGGTAAGCACGCACCCAGGTGTGGGCTTCTAACCTCCACGTTCACCTGAACTCGGGGGCCGTGAGGTCCCATCCCTCCCTTGACTGTGCTGAGGTCTCTCTGATAAGAGCTTGTGCCTGGGTGCGCCTGCCACCCAGGGTGGGTGTCTCTGTTTGGTGGTTGCCTTCACAAGATAGGAACTATCTGGAAGGACTTTTCCCAGATGCTCCCACGTTACCACAGACACAATTGAAAACAGACCCTGAGCGAGACAGGCTACGTCCCCGAATGGTGAGCAATTATATGGGTGATAATTTTCTGAATGACAACTGAGGTTCTTTGGAGTTGTTCTCTGACTCCCCAGGGCCTGCCGTAATACCTGGCGTGCAGTAGGAAGCCCAGCGAATACCTGTTGAGTTGAATGATGGAAACCCACTAACGTCCATGTAAAACCTCACATGTGCTCCATCATGCCCAAGGAGTGAGGCATGATTTGTGAACTCATGGGTCCTAGGGATTCTCTCAATCCTATTACATTATAAATATAAAAATGTTAAAAGATACTATGTAAAACTCCATAGGCCAAAAAAAAAAAAAAAATCAGAAAAGTGTTGCTTTGTGAAAGGTGGGGTTAGGATCGACTGCAAATGGACATAAGGTAAATTTCCAGCGGGGGGGTGGGGGGATGGCATATTCCACATCGTGAGAGTCGTGTAAACTGTCAATTCTACAGCTAAGTTCCATGCATTCCACAACATGTTAATTTTGTTGAAAAAAGAGCAAACTCAAATCTGTGGTCATCATCATCTTTTATGGACTAGTCGGTGGGGCGTGGGCAGTGGTGTAGATGAAATGAGATCAGCGATGTTTTGATAACTCTTGGAGCTGGATGGTGGGTCCTAGGGATTCATTATGCTAGTCTGTTTTGTTTGGAATTATTCATAATAAAAAGGGTTTTTTTTAATACCATCTAATTCTTTCATAGTAAGAGGTAAGGCAAGGTCAAGCCCCTCCCCCTCCTTCTTCATCTGGGAAGTAGAAAAGGGTTGGCAGAACAATTACAAGTAGAATATCGACAAACCTCATTTGGGGTGTGGGCAGGAGGGATAATTCTGAAACATGGCTTGTCATTACGTACCTATTCAATGCCTGTCCTCAAAAGGTCTATACATATGCATGAATTTGTATATACCAAGTTCCTTCTCAAAAAAAAAAAATCACCATGCAAAAGTGACGTGAGCTGAGAAGCTGTCTTGCATTCTGGCCCACTCAGCTTCCTGGGTGGAGTCAGTGGGTGAGTGTGGCAGGTCACCCTCCTCTGCCTCACCCTGCTAGCCCTGGCCGCTTTGAACTTCTCCCACTCAGATCTGCGTTGTACTCTGTGGACCTCAATTCAATACCCTTCTGCTCTCTATTTCATGGTCTTTAGTGTCTTTCTCCGGCCTGAAAGTGGTTCTCTGAAGGTGGGGGCCCTGCTCTTAACTGCTGGTCCCCAGCCCCCTTTGCCCCTTTCTAGAACCTTGCCCAGAGGCTAGACCATGGCAAAATCTCCCGGGGAAGTGTCCGTGTGGCCTCAGACTGGTCAAAAGAGGCAGGGGCGGGGCAGATAGCCCACGGACTCATCCTCACTTGGCACGTCCGGAGCGCTGTGCTGAACAGTTTCAATGTATTATCTCATTTTTCCTCCTTTTATCTCATTTGGCCCTGTGAGATAGGCGGCGTTGTTTGTGTTTTACGGATAAGAAACATTGAGATTCAAAAGGGTTCAGTAATTTGTCCACGGTTTCATGTCAGAGAGCAGCAGCCTGGGACTTGGATCTAGTTCTGACTCCAAACCCCAGGCTCACCCAGGACTCTACACCCACCTCTTCCCCTTCCTCCAGCTAGATACAAAATGTCCTGCTGTCTTCAATGCTCCATTCTGAGACCCTAATCTTCTCACCAACAGTCTTCAGACTCTGCTGCTCTTCCCTGGTGGGTGGGTGCCACAGACAATGGCCGGCCAGCATCCCGATGCCCAGCACGATGTCAGGGTATCTTTGAAGTGCAACAGCCCCTTCCCCAGCTTGGAGAAGTGACCTTCCAGCTGGTGGTTCCTACCCACCTCTGGGTCACATCCAGCAGGCACCTTGTGATGATGCAGTTGAAGGCTCTTCTCAGAAGGATGGTCTGGGCCTTCCACAGAGAACTGGGCTCTTGGAACTCACGGGCAGAGGGCCCGTTTTCCCACTTGGTGACCCAGGCAGGGTTTGAATAGGAATGCACGACGACAGAGGGACAAGGCCCCTATCTTTCCATCAGCTTCTTCTAAATCATGGGAAGCAGAGCACCTGTTGAATTAGGAAGAATATGTCCATCCCTGAGTCCTACCCTGTTCCCTGTGTCACAAGGAAGTGTGCCCAAATAGAACTCTGAAGCGCGTGTGATTTGACGCCAAACTCACCCACCCTTGGTGCTGACCCTGCAGGTGGTGCTGTCGACCACGGTGAACGTGGACGGACACGTGCTGGCCGTTTCCGACAACATGTTCGTGCACAACAACTCCAAGCACGGACGGAGGGCCAGGAGGCTTGACCCATCCGAAGGTGGGTAGGGCTGTCGGCTGAGCATGGCAGATGAGCAAAGTCCTCCACAGATTTTCTGGTTTGAATTTCCAATTTACATGTGGGAGTTAGAGTGGGGAAAGTCCAGTGAGCCGTGCGGGTTTGTAAGGGAAGCTGTAAACACAGCCTGCTCCGGGCGGGGCCGGGCCCCCCAGTTGCCCCCCGGCCTCTTCCATTCTGCTCTGTTTTCTTTTTGCTAGACGGGCATTTCAGGCAAATGTAGGCCTATGACATCTTAGTTAAACAGGAACATTACAGTGCCAGACGTGTATGAATAAGTGTCAGATGTGCCCTTAAACAGATTGTGAGCAAAACAAAACAATGTGCAGAATGAAACTGACACTAATTGATTTTTGTTTGCTTGGACAAGAAGAAATCGTGGGCTGCTCTGGGTAGTTTTCCAAGTGCATTAAAGTAATTAGAAATACTGGTCACTGTTAAACTTCAACTTGTCCAAAAAATTAAAGTGTATCGATGAACGCAACTGACAAACCTAAGTAGATTCCATCTCGCTCGTTCCCCTTCCTTCTGGACTCCCCGGCTCGTGGTGTGGGGAGACCTTGTAATCTAGAACGAGTAACCAAATTAGGCTACTATTAGAATGTGATGTTTTGCTAGACGCTGCCCACCGGTCCCCACCCCCAACCCGGCCCTTAAAATGTATCTTGTATCATTTTAAATAGGAATTAATGAACTGAAAGAAAATGATTGAATCAGTAAAGAATTTGGAGTGGTGTTAATGCTCCCACAGTGAGCACTGAAAGGAGAGAAGAAAACCCCAGAGTTCAGAGCTGGGAGCCCCTCGAGTTTCTTTTGACTGATTGGATGTGATTGACTGGCTGTTCAAAGGGGGCTCATGTTTTTGGAGTCCTGCCAAAGTTCTCCTCCACCTTTGACCCTGTCAACTTTGGCAATGGAGTGATGGATTGACTTTAGTTATGGCCTGAAAACCATATTGGGTTCCTGTTGGGATGTGCAGTCCAGGGACCTCAGACATATGGACAAAGGGAGGAAAATCCTTCCCACAAGTTAGGAGACTGATTAGAAATTGTCTCTTGAGTTGAAAAAAAAAAAAAAAAACCCTTCAGCTATGGTAGAGCTTGCTTTCTCCTTCTCCGCCCAGCGCATTAATGGGCCTTGTAAATTTTAACATCGTGGGGCAGAGGAGGTGGGGAGAGAAAAGGGATTTACACTTTTCTAGTGTGATCAGCTTATAAAAATATGGGCAAAAACAACAGAGTTTTCAAAACACCCTTTGCACAATTAGCTAAGTGTTTCGCTTTTTCATACATAATGGTCAGCTCATTAGGCTTTAATGACCTGGTGCCAACCAACAACCAATTAGAGGAGGACGGCAGGTCAAGAAAGCTCAACTTGAACTTCATGGAATGGCCAACAGCTTCCCGGGACAGCCATTCCCAAAGCTCCCGACTCCCACCACGGAGGATAGGGCTGACTTTTTCTTTCCTATCCTCTCAGCGACCCCCTGCATCAAAGCCATCAGCCCAAGTGAAGGCTGGACCACAGGAGGGGCCATGGTCATCATCATTGGCGACAACTTCTTCGATGGTCTCCAAGTGGTGTTCGGCACCATGCTTGTGTGGAGCGAGGTAGGCAGTCAGCTTCTCTCCCCTCCTTTGGCCCAAAGGTTTGTTTAAAAAAAATATATATATTTATTTTAGTTGTAGATGGATACATACCTTTATTTTATTTTATTTTTTACATAGTGCTGAGGATCGAACCCAGTGCCTCACACATGCTGGGAAAGCGCTCTACCACTGAGCCACCACCCCAGCCCCCAAAGGTAGTTTTTATCTGGGGAAACAGAATGAGCAGGGCATGAGGGATAAAAACGCCTGAAGTCATGCTCGTTGCAGGGACATTGTTAAAATGGCAAACACCCATTGCAGTATTAGGTAAAATTGTGAAAAATTAGAAAGAGGCTACATACTGGATTAAAGGAGCATGGTAGAAATAATAATAGTAATAATAAAACATTTTCCACCATTGAAAATCATGGTCTGAAAAAACTTCTGCTGACCTAGGAGCAGAGATATGCACCTGCCATAATGCTCGTTGGGAGAAAAATCAGGACAATGGGCCTCTGCATAGGCATAATCTAATTCTGTGACTCACGTCCAGAAATGTACTGGAAACACACCAGATGTTACTGCTGGATGTCTCTGGGTTATGCAATGCTATTTTTCTTTCTTTCTTCCTTTATTTCTGTAATTCCCCAATTTTCTCAGTTGGGTATGGCTGGTGTTCTAGCCAGAAAAACAACAGAACACACAGCAAAAAAGAAGCGATGGCCGGATCAGTAAGGGGGACCGCGGCGGTTCCCTTGGCGATGGCTTGTCTAACGGCTCTCTCATGTCCCTTCCCGTTCCTTCCTCAGCTCATAACCCCTCATGCCATCCGAGTGCAGACTCCTCCCCGGCACATCCCCGGAGTAGTGGAAGTGACATTATCTTATAAATCCAAACAGTTCTGCAAAGGAGCCCCGGGAAGGTTCATTTACACAGGTAGGTGACGGAGCGGGGAGACTGGCCTCCAGCTCCCCTTGGCTCTGGTGCCCGGCATCTCTCTCTGAAACTATTTTGGTTTTTTCTAGGTCTTTCCAGTGGTGTGGGAAGAGGGCTCTGACACTGAATGGTGAAAGTGTGGACTCAATTCTAAATGTGTATTTTACTTCAGCAACTTCGGCCTGGTCTAGGGTGGTCATGGCGGGTTGTTTTGGAAATGAACACCTTGCTCATCTCTTCTATTGTGTTTGCAATTTGAAAAGTTACTGTCCTAACTCCCAAAGGGACACCTTTCCTCCACTCCTTCAGGGTGGTTTGTATTGCACACTTATCCTGGGAAATCATAGTGAAGTCTAGTGCCCCATCTTACCTTCTAGACAGAGAGACAGATGGAAAGAAAATAAATCACGTGATTTCAGAGGGAAGGAAGGAGGGCCTTGGGTAGGACAGGTGGGAGCCTCTGAATCCCAGGACTGGGCCCACCGTGGAAACCCATGCCCTCCCTCCTTTCCTCTCTGCCCTCTCCAGCCCCCCCCCCCAGACCCCCCCCCCCCCCCCCCCCCCCCCCCGGCTGTTCTCTGTTGGATTCACTGGTGTTCGCTGGAACCTGACCTGGTAGTCCCCGGATCTGCAAGGCACTTCCCTTCCAGGATCACAGACTGGGAAGTGGGAACACGCTTGGTGCAGATAGTACAGGAGCCATGGTGGGCGAGGTGGGAAAGGCCCGAAGGAAGGGCTTCTAACGGGAACCCCCCGAGGTTGCAAGGCCAGGGTTAAAGCCAAGACCTGCAGGGTCCTGCCTTCCTAGACCTTGGGCTGCTCTCGCCCCCGGGTTAGGGGCCTGGACTCATAGCGTCGCTTGCCTTCTAAATGATTCTTTTCCCCATCTTATAAAGCGGACCACCTACTTCCCCAAGCTAAGGAGAAGACTGATTGACACCGTGCATGGAAATGGTGGCAGGATGGTAAAGGCTTAACAGGAACAAAGAGGGGTTCAAAAGTTTTGTTTATTATCAGAAGTGCCTTTATTGTTGTCCTTGGTATTTTCATGGAAACTTAAACAAGGAATTGAAATGGTGATGAGTATTAAAACATGACCTGTACAGGATTCTAGGAGTATGTACTGAGGGAATCAAGTCTTAAACTGAGGTGTTGGGGAGAACTCAGAAAAATGAAGACAGAGGAACAGCATGTGCAAAGGCCCCGGGGTAGGAAAGAGTGTACCATATTTTTGATGACCACTATGATCAAGGCAAAAAGAAGGACTTAGAGAGAAGTTGGGTACAAGCCAGAAGGGAGAATGGGGGCCACAATGCATCCAAGCCCTTTTCTCAGCTCTTCCCTAAGTGCCATGGGCAGCCGTGGGAATATTGCTGCGATCAGATTTGCCCTTGCAGAGGTTGTTGTGGCCACAGTGCTGAGAATGGCTCAAAAGCCAATGTGGATGCAGAGAGGTCAGTTGGAGGCCAGCGTGTTGGCTCAGACCAGAAATGATGGTGGCTTGAGCCAGCGTGCTGATGGTGGGGACAGGCAGAAGTGGGTGGAATTGAGGCGGTTGCACTGATGGGGATGATGGATGGGATGGTGTGAAAGTTGGGGAGGGGAGGGAAGGGGGCGACGCTCAGGTTTCAGGGTTGAAAAATTGGGTGGGTATAGTTTAGAAAGTGATTTTTTTTAAAGGTAGAAAGTGCTAAGGGAGTTCAGAGGAAGGACAGAATACTTCCAGCTGGCGGAGAGGTGGGAAGATTTAATATTGTAAAGATGTCGATTAATGAACGAATCCAACACAATGCCAATCAAAATACCAACAGAACGTTTGGGGAGACTTTACAAAGTTCACCTGGAAAAGTGTTAAAATAGAACACTTGATTATGAAAAATGAGAGAGCCTTGCCCTACTGGACATTCAAACCTATTTTAAGGTTCAATAATTAAAAGAATATGGGGCTCTGCAGAAACAGAAATGTCACGCCACAGAAGAGAAAATTTGAAAACAAACTGTTTTTGCACGTGTTGAGTGGATAAATACCGAAATATCAGCATCGTGAGGAGCCATCTTGGGTCCATGTGGAAAATAATGTTTAACGAACATGTGAAAGAAAAAGATTTCTAATTTCACATGACAAACTAAAATATACTCAAATGAAATAGTTCAATTAAAAATACAGATATTTCAAAAGATTATAATCCACAACATCATTATCACGTTGAGCCTTGCCCGTCTTGACCCCAAAGATACCATGCAGAAAAGATGGGGTTACATAAAAAGAAAATTTCTCATGTGAAAGTAGCCAGGCATGAAGTCAAAAGGATAGAAAGAACTGGGAATGTGTCTACTCTGTAGGATATATTGTGTCACACATAAAAAGATTCATTCATTTGTTCAGTCAGTCAAAATTTCTTTTACGCCTGTTCTTATCTACTGCCATGTTACGCATTGTGATAAAGAGGTGAACGCTGTATTTCTTGCAAATTAAGAAGGAAAAAAGCAAATACCCACACAGAAAGCTAGCAAGTGGCATCAGTTGCTATATATGTTATTTCAGGAGTCCAATGAAGCAATAAACATTTTTAAAAGTCCAACCGCATTAATAATCTAACAAATGCAAATTAAGGCAACTCTTAAGAGTACCACAAATTTTTCTTTATCGAGTTAACAAAGCTATTTCTTAAACAAATGAAAAAATATCCACGTTGGCAAATTTAGAAAAAGGTGGAGATTTTAATGCCCCACGGTAGGAGGGTAGATGGTGAGAGAAGAGGGCCCCGATGGTACCAGCCTTAAAAATACGTGTGCCCTTTAACTCCTCAGTTCTACTTTGAGCAATACATACTTAGAAAATAATTGAATTTGCTCAAGGCTGTTCTTTGGAACACTATTTATAGCAGTGAAAAAATCAAAAACATCTTTAGTGTCCATTAGGGGATTTATTAAGTAAATAACGAAACATCTTCACACTTTTAAAACATTAAAAATGATACCATTGACGGATACTTACAGGAGAGCAGGTGTGATGTATGTTCTTTAAAAAGCTTCAAAACAGTATGGATAGGACGATCTGGTTTTTATAGATATGAGAAATGAACAATTGTACAGAAGGCACTCCGGGGCCACTGTGTTGGCAGGGGCGGTTTCTGAGAGTCAGCGTTGAACTTATTTTCATGTTGCTTATTGTGTCTGTTATTTTTTCACAAAAGTAAATAATTTTAACTAAACATTAGAAGAATAAAATTTAATAAAAATCAGCATCACTCATGTTTAAATACCAAAGGTGCACACGCTGGTAAACTTGATCTTTCAGGTGTCCGCCCAGCCAGGCAGCCAGGCAGCCAGAGAAGCTCCTTGCAGAAGATGCCTTTGAGTGGGGAGGCCAGAGGGGGCAGTTAGGGTGGGGAGGCCAGGGACTGAGAAGAGGCCAGGCGTGCAGACACCGCCTAGGATGGCACAGGAGGCTGGTCACTCACCGAGAAACGTCCGCCTTAAGGTTGCTGGCCAAATTCAACTCCTATTCATGGAGACCAGAAGCCAATGCCATCCATGAGGGTCCCAGGCCCCACAGGAAATGGGTGGGGGGTCCTTGTTTCTCCCAGTGAATGGGCAGTACCACCATGAAAGCTCACTTAGTCTCCGTCTGATGGTGGAAAGGCAGGGACTTGGCAGGGAACCGGAGAGGAGAGAGCTCTACCCAGACCTGGGTCCTCGCTCCTGCTGGCCCTGTGGTCATGACTGTCTCCCTGTGGGAAGCTGGACGGAGGCCTGTTGGATTTGTAGTGGGCCTGTCCTCTAAGGACCGAGGTCAAAACCCTGGGCAGCTCTCTGAGCACCTTGGGAGTCAGCGCCTTCATTCCTCTGCAGGTGCGTCATGGCGGGATGGGTGCTCGAGGTCCCTGCAGGCCTAGACTAAAACTCAGCTCCAACGGTGAGGTGCAAAGGCCCATCGGATCCCAGAGGAAAGGAAAACCTTGCAACCTAGCAAACTTTGGTGGGGGCGGGCTGAGCCCTCTGGGGAGGAGCTGGCCAAGAGGATGGGCCTGGGGAACAGAAGAGCTGATCTTGGAGGCTGCTCTGGGGGAATTGTGTGTCCTTTTGTCAAGTCACCTGACCTCTCGGAGGAGTTTCCTTTTCTTTGTCTGGAAAGCTCAGGTAGTAATTAGGCTGCTACCTGCAGGTGTTTCCCTAATGTGGCTGACCATGAGACTAGTGCTTGGCGCCACTCCAGATGTGACCAATCATGCCCTTCTGGGAAGGTCTGAGAATCTGTATTTTCCACAAAGAAATGAATCTGGGAGACCTGAGTTCTGCTCATGAGGCTGTTGCAGAGACTCTCTGGCTTGGAAAGAATCCACATGTGGGAGAGACTGGTCTCCTTATGAGACTGGGCTGTTTCCCCATGAATGCAATAGTAGTGTCTATTCTTAGTGGAATTTTCTAGAAGGAGACTCAAAAACCAAGAGGCAAGAAGGGAGGCTCCCGTGAACCTCTCCTCCTTCAGTCCTCCCCTCTACATGCACACCGGTGGTCCACCTGCAGCTGTTGGTGGTTCTGTATTCAAGGATGCACCACCATAATGAGCCCACACCTATTAGATGTATCAGGTGTAATTAGCCCAAATGCCATCATCAGCTCCCGTGGTTGCTGCTGCCAAGCACAGCACACACCCCGTCGGGGCTCTGGAAAGCAACACGTCCTCTCACACATGAGGCGTTGCGGGTTCGTTTCCTCCGCCCCTGGTTTGCTAACCTGCAGCTTGCTGCTGCAGAATTGAGAGAGCCACATGAGACCGAGGCTCGTCAGGAAAGTCCAGTTGCCTCCGTCTGGTGTGAGACCCAGAGGCAATGTGGTAGCCTGGGCTTAGCAGAAGAGATCCCTCCTCTGCTCTCCTTGCAGACATTTCCCCTGAGAGTCAGCAGTGGAGAAAAGCAAGGCCTGTGCAGCGGGACTACTGTGATGGTGGTGCCGGTGGCTCTGGCTGGCTTCATTTCCGGTGGCAGGGAGTCCAG